GATAATCGGCTTTTAGGTTAAGCATTTGAGCAACTATCGATAATTACGAATGCTTATCACAACCGAGTCAAGTATCTCTACGTGATGCATTCAATATATCATAAAAGTGTTGGGAACCTCCTCCGTGTCGAACGAATCAAAGGATGAATCGATTGTATCCATTACCATGCTTTGATATGGGTTTTAGGGCTCACTAGAACTACCTTCGCCTATATAATAATTTCTTGAAACATGCTGACTCCTAGAAGTTTCAAATGTCATATAGGCTTCAAATTCATCATGATGCACCCAAGTATAATATCCTAGCACAAACCTTTATGGGATAAATGATACTTGGCCAGTGTCAATCTCTTCATAATTTTTGTTTCGACACTTACTGAAATTGCAAGGACACCTAATTTGGCTTCGTCCATACATTCGGGATGCTTAATAGCAAAAGCTAAAAATTGCTCTACACCTCTAATAAATTCATCATTTAACAATCCATTTACTAACCTAAATTTCATCCATTTTCGATCAAGTCTCATTTTTTTAAATTACGCAAAAAATAACGGAACCATTACAAACAATTACTTCTCATTATTTCAAATTATTTTAAATAAATATTAAACAATTATATTAGTTATATAATTATCTTCAATTATTTATTACTTTTGTTTTTGAATTTTACTTCCTATTTAAATAATTATATAAAGAATAACTGCATTTTTGTAATAAATACTTAATTTCTTAATATTCAATAATTTGTTGTGTAATTTTTTAACTTTTTCAACCTTAAGTGCTATATGTTATAACGTTAACCTAACCTAAACAAAACAATTAACCTAATTTAAAAAACCTTAGGTAATTTAAGGGAATTATATTATCATTTTCACTTAAAATACAAAACAATTTATACTTTTTTAACCAAAATATATTAAATTACATATGAACTAAATAATTTATGAAAAAAATCAACTAATATATTTATTTAATTCTATTAATTATCTATATATTTATATAATTTTAACATTTTTAAAGTTATTTTAGTAATTACATTATCATTTTCACCTAAAATATATAAAATTTTAGACTTTATTAACAAAAAAAAAATGTTAATTTACATTATCTCCGAAATAACTTTTAAAAATATTCAACTAAAATATTTATTTAATTTTATTAATTAATAAAATATTTATAAAATTTTTAATATTTAATTTAATTTTTTAATTATATTTTTTAATTGTTTTTTGATCCAATATAATCATTATACATGTTATATTATTTTAATTTTAATAATTAAATTAACAAAATTACTTATAAAATTTACATTCAAATTTATTAAACTACATTAAAAAGTAATATAATTTCAAAATTAAATTTTAACAAACAACTAAGCAAATTAACATATAACAATAAAAAAGAAATAAATATATAATGAAATCAATTAATCATACTAACAATTTAAGGTTAAAAAATTAAATTTTAATCTAACAACTGAAAATTAACAAAATTTATATTTTTAAGCTTTACGTTAACATCGAAATTAAACTAACAACTAAAATAACAACAAACTAAAACTTAGCAAAATAAATCTAATAGTTATCAAAATAAAATAACAACTAATATATTTAAAATACTACATAACAATTAACATAACGGGGTAATTAACAACATTCAAATAATTACTAAACTAATAAATAAATAAAAATTAATTAAAAATATATAACATTTATCTAACTTTTTTAAAAAATGAAAATAAAAGTTAGAGAGAGAAATTTTACCCAACAAATCAAGTATATGTAGCATAGATCCGATTTGATTTTGAAGAAGAAAGATAACCCTTACTTTATTGAATACTTTGAGAAAAAATTTACTAGCGTGGGGCGACCTAGGTGGCCATTTTTTTTGTCGACGCCGGAAAGGGAAGTGTAGTGGAGGTGGGGGAAACAAATGAAGAAGTAGAAAAAAGGGGGGTATATATAAGCAAAATAGCGACGAATCCGATTCCGTTGTTACTTGGCGACGGACCACCCGATCTCGTCACTAAATAGCGACGAATCGACCGGTCCGTCGGCTGAATGGGAGGGAAATACCCCCTAAATGGCGATGGACCGGCTGATCCATCGCTAATTTGGGGGAAATTTTCCCTCCAACGACGAAGATGGACCTAGTCCGTCGCTAATTTTGGGAAAAATTTCCCTCTCGAGAAATAGCGACGGACATTGTCTATCAATAAATAGTGACGGATTAAATTCTATTGGTAATTTTATATTTAGCGATTGAATTATCGTCGTTAATCCGTTGCTGATTTTTATTTAGCGACGGATTTGTTTCCATCGTGATGTTTCCGTCGCTAATCCGTCACTAAACCGTCATAAAAAATATTATTTCGTAATCAGTCCATAATCCGTCGCTAATTAGCTACGGATTGGTTTTCGTCACTAAATTTCGTCACTAAATCATTTTTTTTCGGTAGTGTAGGGACTTGATTATTTGCTCGATGTTTGGTTAAACCTTACATTATAGGAAGTTCAAGTTTTTCTTGGTTGGAGGTTTTAGAGCGAGTTAACACAAGAAGCTTTTTTGTTGTTATAGTTATAATAAGAGATGAAGTCAATATTTGCTCGTTTCGTAGTAGTAGCACTGGAAATTACAAAACATATTCTTCTATATTGTACGTTTGCATGGATTATATGGTGTAAAATTACATCCTAATAGGGCAATACTTGGTTTATGTCATGTTTAATTGATAACTTGTTTTAGGAATAATAATTTTCTTATGCTAGTTATATGCAAAAAAAAAAAAAAAAGGTTTGGTTCATGGTTCTTTATGTAGTTCTACGGTCGGTGTAATTGGTAAGCAATGATATGATATTTAATGATAAAGAGCCTATTTGGGATAATATTTTTCCACTTATTTTTCATAAAACAACTTATTAGGCAAAATTTGTAGATGATCATTTCATCTATATATGTAACAATCATAGAGATGTCCAGATTATGTTAAGATGTGGACTAATTAGCTTAGATATCAATTGCCAATTTTATGGTCACAACTTAGTCTAGATTCTTTGAAATAGAATAAGATGGTTCATCTCTCGACAAACTTGGTATCTCGGGTATTGGAAGTATTTTATGAAATCATGAAGGAAATTTTTTATGTATGTTTTTTTTTTAATTCCAATATGGATCGAAGAATCGAACAAGTTCTATCTATGAAGAAGACTTTGGAGATCGGTGTTGATTATATCTATGATCATCAAATAATTGGATCATTTAATCAGATTCATACTATAGCTTCGATGAGTAATGATGTTACAACTAGACATTGGTGACTTTAGAGTCTCTTTAATTCTATCAATACTCTAATAAACTATTTAAGCCGTATTTTCTTTAATTACATAGTTTAGGAAGGGAATATTATGGCTTGTTTTTTAGCGACACTTAGCCTACACAGAATGGATGACTTTATAGCTTACGTATAATATGATTATTCCAATAGTTTTTTAGTTTTTTCAACTATTGACTATAATTTTGTCAGCTATCAGTTGGCTCGTCCATATATATATATAAAGCTAACTCTAGAAAATTATAATTATTGGGTAAAGTAATATATCTACTAACAAATTATAGAATGCATAAGCATTAATTATTTTGTACTAAATTAAAGTTACGAAAACACGTACTAATCGTTGAAATTTATATTCTAGCAAATTATTTATTCAAGATACTTGAAATATTTTTATAACTATAAGTAAAAATAAAAGTATCTTAGACAACATAATATAAAAGATGAGGTTATTTAAATAATCAGTAACAATAAAAAGTTACAATACCAAAACTTTTTGCATCTCAAATTTCAAGAGGAGATTTGAATTATTAGATTTCCAAAAAAAATCTAATATTCTAGCACATGTGAGATCATTTCAAGAAATTTGAGATGTCTTGAGTATTGACTTGCAAAATACAAGAATGTTTGGCATCCCAAATAATTTGTTCTTGAAAATTTTAAATGTCCCTGTACCAAACAGTTCCAAACGATAAATGTCATTCAATCCACTTGTAAAAGATATTATTGAAAATGACCCACTAAATCCGGGGATTTAGTTATTAATCCAAAATTCTATTACAATTCAATTAAAGTTGATTTAAAAATTCATGATGGTGCAAATTTTCTCTAAAATCATCACTCAAAGTTGTATATGGAGAAGTAAAATGAATATCTCTAACTTATCAAGTTAAGGGTTTGATTCTTATATCTTTTGAAAGCTCATCATTCTCTTTTGTGTGATTCTAGATATAGGTTCTCAGTAGACTCAAAAAATCTAATCTTTATAATTGACTAAAAACTTGAACATAATTCAGAACTGATCCAATATCAAGCGTAGTGGAATTAGTCTCCACTTGGATTTAACCACAATAAATGCAATGGTATATTTAGTGATTTACACGAAAATGGAAGGATTTTTTCAAATAGGTTTGGCAAGCTTACTTAACACTGACATGCTATTAGGTCGAGCTAGACAAATTTTGTTGGCATCGTATCAATGCACCCCACAAAACTTCCTTTTAGCATCAGCAACAGTTTAGGGGCCACAGTATATATTAGGTTTAAGAGCTTAGCTGTTCATTCTACTTTAAACCAATCAGAGTTTAACGCGAAAAGTAAAGCTTTTTAATCATTTAGGGTTTGCCGTCAGGGTTAATCCTTTTACATTTCTCTTTGCTAGGCGGTTGTTAAGGCAGTTGGATTATCACTTCACAGTAAATTGTAGAAAAGCTAGTGTATGGAAAAATTAGCATTTTAAAACCCACACACACATTGTTAAAAAAATAATAATAAATAAATAAAAGAAAAGAAAAAGTAAAGGGTAATAACTGGTCATGGTACCTGATAACAAGGATTTAAGTCCAAAAAGAGATGTTTACATGCTATAAATATACCCTCTAGGGTTAGGGCTTGCAGTAACAACTAAAATCTAGTTCTTGCTCCTCTCTTTCCCCTTCTCTCTGTCTTTATGCCAGAACCTAATTTTAGGTCGGTCTTCCAATTGGAGAATTCTAGCCTAGTTTATCAAGGATTTGAAGGAGGAGCAGGCAGTGAAGGATTGGGGACTAGCAAGATGAGGAAGCGACAAGTGGTGGTAAGGAGATCAGAAGAACCTTCAAGAAGTTCAACGATTTCTTCTTCCACTGTTAGGAATGTTAAATATGGAGAGTGCCAAAAGAATCATGCTGCCAGTGTTGGAGGTTATGCTGTTGACGGGTGCAGAGAGTTTATGGCTAGTGGTGAGGAAGGCACAGCTGCTGCACTCACTTGTGCCGCTTGCGGCTGCCATAGGAATTTCCACAGAAGGGAAGTGGAGACAGAGGTGGTATGTGATTGTTCTTCCCCTTCTTCAAATGGTAATTAGAATTTCGATGAGTCCCGGAGGTTTATGTTTATTGTATGACTCGGTACTTTTCCTGTTTGGATTTGTGATTGTTGTTCTTGTTCTTATTGTTTTAGTTTCAGTAGTTTTTAGGGTTGATGGACATCATCGGTAGAGCTCCTCTATGATTTGAATATGTGAAAAACTAGTGGAGGACGGTGAAAATGAATTGTGTGGTGTGTTTTTGATGATCAATGAACATGACCGTAGCAAATTGGTGTTCCTAAGATGAATTAGCTGTAACAACCTTCATGATTGGAGTGAGTAAAGCATATCTAATCCAGAAGTTTCGTTGTCTGTGAATCATAATTTCGCAAGGTAGAAAGAGTATATATTAAACAGAGGTGACCATTTAATGGTGGATTATAATGAATATTGCAGGTGTATTATTGTCATGAAATTATTGTGTTATTTGGAACTTTTTTATGTCTCATATAATTTGTCGCTATTTTCTTAGTTTTGTCAATGGAGAGTCCAGTATTCATTTGATATGCAACATTCTTAAATTTTGTTTCTCCTCCTATAACAAAATGTATTTCTCCATTCCCATCTAAGTTATGATCATAAAAGCATCAGAAGTTTGAACAGTGACAATTTTACAGACTAAAGCGTCATTTCCCTCAAATTAATGGTTATGGTTATATAATATCACATTAATTAGCTTCAACCTCTGCATATCTTTTTTCCAATTTAGCCTGGTTAACTTACTTTAGCCTAATAATTGTACTTTTTTTTTTTTCCTGATTGATTCTTGAAGTAGTTCATCTACCATTTTACAATATTATCTTTAGAAGACCAGAAAAGAAATCTAGGGAATATTTCCTAAATGTGGTAGTCATATCTATATGGTAAGATCACTTTGTATTTAAGGTTACAGGCCCACATATCTATTCATGTTGGTTGTTATGATGGAAAATTCACTTAGTCTGGTACTTAAAAGTTGATTAAAAAGCTTATAGCCTATATAATTCATCTCTTTTCTTTGGTCAATAAATTCATTTGTTCAAATTAGTTGATGATAGAAAGACATGAAAGGATGTCCAAAGAACAAAAACTGACCGCATGATTACCAAGATTTCTAATGTTAGTGTTAGCACAATCTGGAGCGTGCAATCAATCTTTAGTCCTAACTTTACTTATAAAAGACATCATATCATATATAATATGCTCAACAATATTATTGTGTAATACAAGCATATTTAAACCACAATAACGTAGTGCTTGAGCGCACATGTATATAAAATATCTTACATGTGAAAGACAAATCATATGCAGATATGTACAAACTCATTGACAATGGTTAGATATTTTTCATGTGAGGTGTTAGTATGCAAAAGTATTGAAGTTAGGTAATCATGAGTATGGAAGAAACAAACCTTCCAGTATATGTTATATTTGAATTGGGCAAATGTCAATTTCAAGAACATCGTAACAATTCCATGCATGAAATTGGAGTAGATGCTTGCAGTTTCAGTGGAAAAGGAATTGTTTCTTCTAGCTTGAAATTAGGTAAAAATGCACATGGATATTGATTACTCATCTTCGATCGATAATGTGGAAAGTTATTTTCAAAGTACTAACATTATTTGGGTCTCCAAGTTATAAGTTGCAATTTCGACGGGCACTATGTTTCCTATATATTTTTAGGCATTTGTGTTAGAAAAACACTTCTTTCCAAATACATTTATAAAAGAATCTAACCCGGTACTTTACACAGAATTACCCAATATTACGCAACATTATTCTAAACGATCCATAATATCAATTTCTTTACAATCGTATAAAAGAAGCGATTAAATATTATAGCATGTTTGTCATCATAAAAATTCCGATATAGTGATTATATTAGTCCACATACAAAGATTTTTCACCAAATGTTCTCGAAGGATGGTTATAGTTTGAAAATTTTGTTAGAACATTTCAAATTCAAATCCCTCAAAATTTTGAATACATAAACTAATTGATAAGTAGACATGCTCTATATGTTAGCATTTATACTTAAAATTCTAAGTGAAGCCATATGAAATAATTTTCTTGCAAATGCACTCAATTGAACGTGAATAGAATACTTAAGATCCAATTAGAAAAGAACTTAATCTCGCACTAAAAAACAAATCTAAAGATATAATAATTATTAAAAAAAAAATGGTGAAAAGAGGATATTAAGAATTTCGAAATGTGCTACCGTTATTGTAAAGTCTGAATTGGACCTAACGAGAAACCTACATATATATGTATATATATTATACCAATAATTTTTTATAATCTTATAATATTTGCAAATAATTTCATGAACATCAGAGGATCAAAATAAGTGTCATTGATACTTTCCCAAGGAAAGAGAGAGCCAGATTACTCATGTCAGAGTTCTATTTTTTTATTCAAAGAAACAAATAAAGCAACAATATAGAGAATGAAAAAAAAAAAAAAAAAAGATTAAATATAGCCAACATCAAAACTTCGAGGGTTTAGATAGTAGAGATTCAACATAAAAGGTAGTCTTAAGAAAATAATAATAATAATAGTTGTAGGAGTCTCCATAGTCTTTTCTCTCTCTCTTTTATTTATTTTATTTTATTTTATTTTATTTTTTTAAGTTCATCCTTCTATTTTTTTGTTTATTTTAATCGTGTCTTTTTTCTTTTTCTTCTTTTACCTAAAGTTCATCTTTTTATTTTTTGTTTATGTCTTAATCATGTCTTTTCATTAATATTTTGAGCTAACGACACTAAATTGCATCGTTAAGACGATCATATTGCAATAGTCGTCAATATTACTTCTTTTTTCTTTAATCTCGTTTCATTTTTTTTTTTATCAAATTTATATAAATAAATTTTTAAAAGAAAAAAATGAAAAAGAATGCTGAAGATATATCTAGTTTCTTTTACCACTTTTCATTTAATATTCCTAAAAATCTTAACAAATTTTATAAATTAAAATAAGTAAATTATGATAGTGTCTCATGATAAAATTATACATGTCATTCAAAAATTTAAAAATTTAACTAAAACTCTCTTGAAAATGAAAATAAATAAATAAAAACCATAACCCATAAAGGATATTTTGAATAAAAAAATATTTATATCTTCACCTTTTTTAAAAAACCGATATGTACGAAAAACAAAAAATTAAAAATTAAAAAATAGTCTTTTTCGAGGTATTAAAAAACATAAATACCATTCAAAAGTTTAAAATTTTAAATAAAACTACTTGACATTTTTTTTAAAAAAAGTATAAATAATTCGTTCGCTTACTAGATAAATTTAAATCCATAAAAGATATTTTGGATCATCATTTTTTTTTAGTTTTTAGTTTTTCATTCAAAATTTATTCATTTAAATTTATTTAAAAAAGAGTAAAAGAAAAAAATTAAGGGAAAAAATATAATAATAACATATGTTGCAATCTTGTGGCATTAATTGTGTGATTTAACATTGTTAGTCCAAAAAATATTAACAGAAATACATGATAAAAATAGAAACCAAACATAAATAAAATAAAATAAAATAAAGACTAAATAAATAAATAAATAGACATAATAAAGACCAAAAAAGAGAATAGAAAAGCTCCTACCATTAATCCTTTAAATAAGATTTGGGATTTGATATTCTTGCGCTTGCAAGTTCTGTACACCTCATTATCTTTCAATATATATATATATATATATATATATTGAAAGACCCAAAAAGAGTCATTATCTTTCTATATATAACAAAAAAAGAGAATGTAAAAGCTCTTAAATCCATTAATCCTTTAAATAAGATTTCGGATTTGATATTCATCCGGTTGCAAGTTCAGTACACCTCATTATCTTTCCAAATATATATATATATATATATGTGTGTGTGTGTTTACCATGATGATCTGTTCAATGTCACACTGAGAAATAACAACCTAGTCTCCGAATGCAAAAACAAACTGATACCCTTATCTCTTAAGGAAAAAAATAAAAATAAATAAATAAAAAACATGACGTGAAAGTTAAATTTGCTTTGGATACTTGTATGATAGATGCCTGAAAAAAGAAGGGGCTCTTTCCACATCTCCACAGTATATTTCATAAGTGAAAGTAATCAATTGAAAATATACTTCATAGAAGTGAAATTTCAATCCGATGCTTTTTGGTGCTTTTTAAAAGTGTTTGTCATTATTACTTGATGATTTAACTTTACATATGTTCAGCTCATTTTATATTAGCTTTCATTGTCTACACTAAAAAACACTTTGAAATAGCATATTTTACGAAATTTATTTTGTTATGAATCTTTCTGTCAGTGACAACAAACGTAAAAGGCTACCTCAACGTCATTTTAACCATTAATATGGTAGACGGCTGTGACTGTCTGCTGGTGCAGGTTTTTGAAGCAGTATCATATGCTTTTCAAAACTGATTTATAATTACCATTTTTTTCACTAAAAGAAAAGCCCTTTCTATTTTTCTTACATGTATTTTAATGCTGGAACATGAACAGAAAAGGGCAGCTTATTGGGTTTTGGTCAATCTACTGCTGGTTAGACAACCCATATGTCATTACCTAGCTAATGTTTTAACACCGAACTCAAAACACCTTCGGGCCTAAATACATATAGTACTAGACATCTACAATATGGGCCGGTCAACCTACCGACTATTGTTTGCAGTCTAATATGGACCTGGATGGTTCCAACCCACGATCAAGTTCCTGCTCATGATTCATGACTTTTGGTCACAACTCATAAATGATCATGTCGATTGTCTTTTTTTGTGCAAGTAAGCCAGATTTTCATGCCTCTCTTAAACTATGGCGATGGTATCCGAAGAAACCAGCTGCGAGCTCCAATTGTAGGTACAATTCAACCAAAGGGAAGATTGGAATTGGAATCACAAATAAAGAAATGATGAATGTGATATACGCTAAATTTCTCCATAAAAATTAATTATGAATTTAGATTATTTTATTTTATACTAACCTATGTTACTTTTTTTATTAATTTTTTTACCATGAAATCAAATTATACAACAAATAGATTAGATTGAGGATGAACATCGCTTAATACAAAAATTTAAGTCGAACAAGGATGGACATAGCCATTTCTATAAGACTAGTGTCCATGCTCTATTTTTATAAAGTATTA